AACGACTTGAAATTAGAGTGCAGGCTTCAATTTTTGAATAGAGGGATGTAAAGAAAGTGGGGACAAAAGACAGTGGATTTACTCATGGCCGCAATCAAGTAGCACTTAAAAGATGAGAACATCTGGCTTTTTGTTGAATGAAGAGGACGGTTGAATATTCAGAGACAAAGTCAATCTGACAAGAAACGCGTGAGACTGAGGAGAAGGTTTGAAATAAAAATGAGCGAAGTTGAACAGCTAAGAAAATTGAGAAACACTAACATTGCTAACTTACAGAGGTTCATCTTAACATTGCTCTTCCATTGCAGGCATGTGGTAAAGTAGACGAGATTGAGGCTAAGTATCAATAAGAACATATCAGATGTGACTAAGGAGAGAGATCAGCAGAAACAGCAGCGGCTATTTCAAGTTTCGGAAGATTCTGATCTAGATGTAGCCTCATTGAAGATGTGAGATCAAGTTTATTTCACTTTCGACAGTGGAGGACGATTGGAACTATGCCTACTGTAATGATCCGTTATAGATAGGAAACAACATAAGTGGAAAAATCGTTCAGCTACGGTAATAAAGTGACAACGTGATGAATAGGTGATTTGAACATTTTGGACAGAAAAGAAAAAGAAAACACCAAAAAACTACAGTAAAGTATTGTGGTTCGAGACCGAACCGGAAATCTTCACCACGGACAGAGGGTTAGGACCTCGGAAGCTAGAAGGTTAGAATGAGGAGACCAGCCAAAGAGCTTTTTATATCATTGAGTGAGAATATATAGAGGGATGATGCTTGATTTCTTCTCGATTGTGCAACACACCTTACACGATGAATATCGCTTTGATCTGAATTATTAATCTCATTGTTTTAGGTGGAAGAGATGACAGAAGAATTAAGTCAACTGAAGATGAAAGCTAATGAAGACGAAGCATTAAGGGCTCGATATGCTTTCTAACGCCGAACAGATGAAAGCCTCTGTGTATTTATTATGAGTGATTCAAAATTCAGGTGATAGCTTTAAACTTTAGAAAGCGGAGTAAAAGAAAAGAATGTAGAGAAAGTGGGGATAAAAACTTATTGAAGAGGACTTTGCTTACACCGCCACAATCAAGCATCACCTAACTCAATTGGAAATCATTTTAATTGACCGCCTATTGCGGTGTTTTGATGTTTAAATAAATCCTATGATGTAGAGCGGTGTGCAAAAACGCGCGCGTCAGCCGGGATTCGCACCCAGGTCCTACTCATTGTGGGAGCATGTGCTAAAGCGTTGCACCATCAACGCTAGCTTTGCACTCCACTCTTCCTACACTAGAACGCGTTATCTGTCAAGAGACAACCGTCTACGGTGTGGTGGGGCAGTCACTATCGACATTGGACCCACTTTTGTAGACAGATATTGGGTTTCAATATTCAATCAGAAATCATCTTATTTGACCGCCTATTGCGTTCCAGCGTAGGAAGAGTGGAGTGCAAAACGAGCGACGGTGGTGCACCGGTTTAGCACACGCCCTGGGAATGAGTAAGATCTCGGTTCGAATGCCGGCTGACGCAAACGTGTTTGCACACTACTATACATCATTGGCTTTATTAAAAATTATAACACCGCAACAGGCGGTCAAATAAAATAAATTCCGATTGATTATTGAAACTCAATATCTATAGACAAAAGTGGGTTCAATGTCGATAATGACTGCCCCGCCACACCGTAGATGGTTGTGTGTTGACAGATAACGCGTTCTAGTGTAAAAAGAGTGAAGTGCAAAACAAGCGTCGATGGTGCAATGGTTCAGCACATGCTCCCGGAGAGTAAGATCTGGGTTCGAATCTCGGCTGACGCAAACATTTTTGCACACCACTCAACATCACTGGGTTTGTCACCTAATTGATGAGAACATGTGATTTCCGTTGAATAGAAGGTGACGGTTGAATATTCAGAGACTAAGTGAATTTGATGAGGAACGTGAGAGACCGAGGAGGGTGCTTGAAATAAAAACGAGCGAAGTTGAGCAGTTAAAAAAGATGAGAAACGCTAACACTGCTAACTTATAGAGGTTTATCTTAGCATTGGTCTTCCATTGCAGGCATGTGATAAAGTCGACGAGATTGAGGCTAAGTGTCTTCAAGATATACCAAATGTGACCAAGGGAGAGATCAGCTGAAAGAGTAGCGCAACCTATCTTAAGCACCGGAAGATTCTAATTTAGGTGCAGCATTCAGTGAGAAGTGAGATCTTATATCCAGTCATATTAAGTGATGTGTAAAGCTTCAGCGAGAGGCGTGACTCGAACCCGCAATTCACCTTTTCCGAAGGCAAGTGTATAACCAACTGCACTACAGATGCCTGTTTTTGAATCCGTTAACGGTTGGCTGCAGGCAGATTGAGAATTTTAGCGCAAGAAGAGTGGTGGAAAAGTGTCAAAACGGGCGTCTATAGTGCAATTAGTTAATCACATGCTCTCGGAAAGGGTGAAATACGGGTTCGAGTCTCGCCGCTAAAGTTTTACACATCATGCAGCACATTGAAAAAATAACTCTGATAGTACAGTATGAGCATGGTGAAATGAAAGACATGAAAAGTGGAGCCCCACAATGCTTCTAAATTTTCCCATAACTCAGTAAATAAGACACTAGATAAACCTGGTCAATTCTCTACTCCCGTTTTGTAGAGAGCAGTGTGACATTTTTCTTGCCTGCACACCACTTTCATTCTCATGGAGTGAGCATTACCGGCTGCAACATAGCCCATTATAGAATGATACTTCTCCGTTATCGCAGGGTTCAAGGCAAGAAATTCAAGGCAAGAACTCAACCAGTTCAGAAAATTAACCTGAGAGAATTGAGAGGTGAGCTAAATTTCGACCATGACGGGAGTTGAACCCGCGTTTCACCCATACTGGGTGCCCTGGTACATTACACCACCGAGGCATCATTTCGCTCCTACTCATTCTTCAATGTCTCTACCATAGACATCAGCCACCAACTTATAACGGGTTTGCTCGGATAACCAATATCGCAACCCAGTTAATCCGGCAGCTATTTGTGATACGTAACACTCATGATTCTAATGTTTTTACTGCTTCTTCGCAGTGTTATGACGCTCCAATTGTACCTTAGAGAATTGAGTGGTAAGCTAAAATTCAACCACAGGCCTGAGTTAAACGCGTGTTTCACCCATACGGAGGATGTTTGCTACCCGTTTATGGGGCTATGGTAGAGACTTAAGAATGAGTGGTAGCGAAACGGTGGCTTGGTGCTGCAGTGGTAGCACGCGCCAACGCTATGGCTGAAACGCCGGTTCAACTCCAGCCGGAGGTCCGATTTTCGCTCACCATTCAGTTCTCTTTGGTATATTTGAAACGTCATAACAATGTCAAAGAGCATGAAAAACATAAGATATCCTGAGTATTACGTATCACAAATAGCTGTGAGCTCAACTGGGTTTATAAAGCGAAATTGCTTACCTGAGCAGATCTGTTACAGGCTGGTGGCTGACAGCTATGATAGAGGCATTGACGAATGAGTGGTAGCGAAATGGTGCCTCGGTGCTGTAATAGTAGCACGCGCTCCGATATGGGTGAAACGCGAGTTCAACTCCCGCCTGAGGTCGGATTCTTTTTCACTACTCAATTCTCATAGGTATATTTGGAACGTCATTACGGTGCGAAAAAGACCATTCGAAAGCTTAGATCTCTGCTTAGAGCCGTAGGTGCCCGGTTATCTGAAATTTCCCTTTGTAACTTTTTGGCATGTTGGCAAAGTCGAAGTAAATTTACTTTTCACATCCGCCGCGCATTCATCTCCATTACACCTATAATTCGCTGGAAGCACGAACAGCATGTGAACTTGCACAGGAGATCTCGTAGTATCTTAGGCAATCGTTTTATCTGGAGTTCCTTTTAAAGCGGAGAACAAATTCCAATTGAATAACGTGTTTCACCCCATATGTCTAACGCGTTAGACCATTGATCAATCGTCCTGTCCCCTAGCCAGTGGATTAGCCGGTAAACAGGCTCGCCGAATATGTGAAACTCAATCTTGCTTGCTCTACTACACTGAAGGGAAACGTCTTTCCAGAAAATTAAGTACACCTAGAAATCATTGAAACCTACATGAACAGATTATTACTATTGGTTCAAAGAA